TCTGATTACAGGCCCCAACCGTCGATCATCTAACAACAAAGGACACAGCCACACACGCCCGGCTTGCATTCCGTATGTGCATCATACTGCCCATCGCTTGAAGAGTCTCCCTGCCCGCTTCGACACGAAGGTGGTATTCACATGTCGGATGAAGCCAACGTTACTAAAACACTCAGTCGGGAAACTCGCCGTCGAAACCTGGGCCGCTGGCGTCCACCGAGACCGAGCTAAATGCGACAACAGCGCCACTCTTTATCGTTTGTCTGTACTGTGGTCACCTTGAGCTTTTTGAAAGCCTGTTTTTGCGTAAAAACAAACGGAAAAAGACTCTTTTTGTACGAAATTTATTGGAGTTTAGTACAAAAAGAGGGGCGCGTTATGTTTTTAAAATTTTTAGTTTGCAGGGTTTTGCGGCACAATTGATATTGTTTTTATACAACCATGCCTCAGCGGGGCTTTCAGGTAGCGCGTCCCGACCTAGGTGCATTTTAACTTCGGATAGTTCGACGCGGCGCGCCCGCCGGGGAGGCGGGGGTGGCACCCCTGTAACCTCTTCCGCTGTATCTGCTCTTAAAGCCAAAATAGAAGTCACGTGCAGTTCCTCGAGTGGCCGCTGCGGAAGAAATGGTGGCGTTGTGTTCGTCATTAGCTCGGTGCTCGGAGACAGATTGGGCCCACTTTTTCAAAGCTGTCTCTTTGGGAGTTTCCCAACTGAGTGTTTTAGTAACGTTGGATGAAGCTAAAACAAATGTGCCAAAGGGTAAACAACGAAAGTCGTCCACCAGAATGCACCATCAAACACTTCAACAAATAGTCACTAGCAAGCCGTGAACCAATGCGCAGCGGAAGTTTGTCTGCTTCTTGCACAGGGGTTACGATGATGTCAGAGCGCCGAACTCTTATTGGCTGATCAAAAAAAAAAAAAAATATTGGGTAGACTTCAAGGCAACTAGCATTGAGGTCTACCCACTACCCTTTCAATCAAAACCAATCAGAGTTCGGCGTCGTTATGACGTCACGGCAACTCCTGTACAAGGAGCAGACGACTTGCTGTTCGCATACCGAGAAATCAGGGACCCAAACATCCGAAAAGAAAAGGCGCTGAAGTAGTAAAACAAAGCAAAGAAGTTAGAACTATGTTAGAACAATAAGCAGACGACTTGCTGTTCGCATACCGAGAAATCAGGGACCCAAACATTCGAAAAGAAAAGCCGCTGAAGTATTAAAACAAAGCAAAGAAGTTAGAACACGGACGCAATTGCTTTTTACGAGCAGAAAGGCGATCGCGAAGAGTGCAGACTGGCCCGCAAAAGCGCCGCGTGAAAGAAATTGAACCAAGGGCCATGGAAGCTGCCATCAAGGACGCGAGAGAACAGCATAAAAATAAAACCATCCGGGTTGCGTATGTATGAAGCAAAACATGCTTCGAACATACTTCAGGTTTGTCCGCAGACAGTCCTGTCACCGTGTCTTCTGCATGATGTATTGACTGTGGCTATAGCTCCTGGTCCAACGCCGTCTGACTGGCTTGCTTCGGTTCATTTTTTGTCCTTAAAAAAAATGAAAAGAAACCCGGCATGCTGGAGACGACCACCGTAATACAGCAGCCTCGAGAACAACAAAAGAAAAACAATCGATTAATTACCGTCCCGCAATGGACAGATGTGAATGGAGACTCCGTAGTAACCTTGCTATCCATTGACGAGGAGCTCTCGCGCAGGTCGCAGGCGAGAAGGAGTGGACTGGCCGGGTTACTCGCAAAACTAAACAAATTCTCAGCGTAGACCTTTTTTTTTATGATAGCGTTTATGCGCGTTCCTTTCAGCTGCAACGTTGCCTTTTATAGATGTTGATGTTATCTGATGGTGCAGTCTCGTTGCCTCTGTGTGTTGGCCGTGGCTGGAGTGGAAAATTCCCGGGCTGGTTTGCCTTATTACCGAGGCATCGAGGGGACGTCAGATAGAGGAGAGAGAGGAGGGATGAGAGATGCGAATCCAGGGGGGCTATGTTGCGCTTTTTGGACTCCCAGGAGACTAGGAAGAGGGAAGTGACGTCAACGACACAGCAAGCGCAGATTGGATGTTGACAGAAGAAAACGAAATCAACACCCAATCTGCGTTTGGTCCTTTACGTCGCACTGCATCGATTGTGTCCCCGAAGAGTGTGCAGCATCGTTAAACGACACTTTGTACAGTCACGAGGCGCGTTTCTTTCTCGCGTGAACATTAGAAAAAATTGTATGTCAAATTGCTATGTTGCATACGTGAAACCTTACAGCATCAGGTCACGTGACGTCAACATTTCCGCAGCGGGGAAAATGAATGTCTGTATGGGTCACGTGACACGAAGCCCATGCATGTATCTCATTTTTCACCCCGTGATGCAGTTATTGTACCACTTGTTTCCAGTCTAATTGTTCCGCAGCATAATCCACAGCACATTACAGCGAACGTTGTTCCGTAGCACATTACAACGAACGTGCCTATATTAAAAGAGTTGCATATACGTCCGATTATAATCCTCACTAAAATATACCGTATTTTCCGCGCTATATAGTCCGCGGACTATACGTGTTTAAATATGGAAATTTTAGGCTGCGCCAACTATCTGCGCGCGCCGACTATACAGGATTGTTTTTCAATAGCGTCGATTATGACGAGACGAGCCGGATTTTGTGAATGAAAGAGTATGTTAACGATGATTTATGTATTATACGAGCTTGTTTGTGAGCTAAGAAAGCAGACATTTGTCAGGGTGTGCCGCTCATGAGGAAATTTTGGTGTCGACTAAGCACCAGGTGCGGACTATCTAAGCAAAAACTTATTTTTGAGCGCAAATTTGTCCGTGCGGACTATTGTCCGGAAAATACGGTATATAAAAAAAAAGTAGTAAATGCCGAACGAAAAGAACGCTTGCAGTACGTGCCACTGCTTGCACTGCCTTTAGCATCTTTCATTTTTCTGAACCTTCTCGACGAAAAGTGGCTCCTCTCATCGGCATAATTTTCGCGTCACGTTTGTCTTACAAGCGCTGGCCGCATAGTTTCTTTTCATCTCCTTTACCTCGATATTTTGTATATTGAGTCCTAACATGAATAGAGATGACACGAACGGAAACTTTTGTTTTGTGCGTGCGACCGCAACTAAATGAAACGTTCAAACGACACATAATACAATACAATACCCGAATAACATAACGAATACAATACCCGAATAACGACACATAATACAATACCCGAATGAAACGTTGAAACCCCGAGTCAATCCGGGGATATTTTGCCTCGCGAGCGACACCTCAATTCCATCGCACCAAACACCGCAATAAGCTACTGACGTCCTATCAGCAACTGGTGCGGTGACCTCGCCGCCTCGACCTCGCTGCTAGTGCCAAGCGTCTGCCTTCTGCAACGCACATTTGGCACCTCTTTTTCTCGGCGAGAAAAAAAAAAAAAAAAAAGAGGAATAACCATGAACTCGGTGCGATGACGAACCCGAGATAGATCAATCCGCACGCGCCGTTATAAATATTCCGGGAGACGCTTCCAAACGCTCGCGAAACGACCTCCGCGCGCGTGATGCCGAGACGACTTGGCAACGCTACCCAAACCCACACCCGTAGCAGGTTACAACTGCACTCGCTGCTTCCGTAAAGCGCTACGATAGCCGGAACTCTACGGTCAAGGCCATGGGCGCGCAGGCGCAGTTTCTTCGTTGCGGAGGGCTTAGGGAATGGGAAACGCGGTCTACGAAAACTCTTTCAAAATACCCGACGGGTTCCTTGTCCCGCCACACAAACTGTCTGCATACACGTTCGAAGCGCACGTATACAAAATGCTCGGATCATGCTCGAGGTGTAGACAATTCTGCAATCTCTGCAGTGAACTCGAGTGTCTCTTTACGCCGCGTTGACTGCAAGGAGCCCATCCGATACATCCGCTACAACCTAGAAAACGAGATGCCTCTAGGACGGTTAGCATTCCCGGGGTTGTTTCCCGCCCTGAAAAAGACTTCTTTTTTTAAGTTTCTTTTTTAATTGTGTTTAATGCCACGGGAAGGAAGTCGTCTACGTGCGCGTATTCGAGAACCTTCGATGACGGCTACCACGTTTCTTTTCCGGTTTCCGATAGCGTCAAAATCAACCGCAAAACTCAGAAAGAAGTCCCGGTATCGAACGAGGCAGACACCGATCTCCAGTCGCAGCTACGCTTCACTGGCGCACCACAGCCTGTTGCTTGTCGACAGAGTCCCACAGTTCATACACATGGTATACAAGTTCTCTCCTCACTGCAGACACGATGAGAGAATCCGCGGACAGGCCTCAATCGCATTCTAAGCGCTTCACACGCGAAGCAGTAAGCCTTTTTTTTAAACCTACCTTTTCGATAAATGGAATTTCTCTAAATTAGGGCTTTGTTTTCTCTAAACCGAGTTTCGATACAACGTGCCCGTTCCCTAAAACTTGTTTCCATGAACAGGCGTTCGATCAACCCTAGAAAACCCGACATCCCAACTTGAAGAACCATGCCGAGAAAAAAATGGCTCAAATTCCTGCCGTTCTGGGTTGCCTGGAGCTATTCAAAACCGTATTTGACGAATTTCGCGATCGTAAGCGGCACAAATTATTTTCATACATCAAATATGCCGGATGATTAAAAAATAATGAAACATGCGACGCGATCCAGCGAAGGACTGAGATTCATTTCGAACAACTGGAGATCTTTGGACGCAGTACCGAAGGCTCGGTTTTAAACGACAACGTCAGCCAGATTGCGGGGGCACCTCGGCCGAGACTCGAACCCGCCAACTGGAAATTCGTAGATATTCAACGCCAATAACTTTCTTCGACTAATTGAGGTGGAATGGAGCACATTTAGATCTGCTTTCTTTTACCACCTGCACCTAAACTCGGCGTTAAAAAAAAATAAAGGAAAGAAGATTGTACACCGATTCCACTAATCCAAGTACGAATAGAGTAAATTGAAGTGTGCGAACGTCACTTACACTTGTTACTCGTCGGCACAGCGACGGCGACGGGAGCGGAGGCGACGTCGTGGCGTCGGGAAAGAGATCGGGGGAAAGCAGCGGCTCGCGGCATCACCAAATCGCACGATTACATTCTTGTCAGCTCCCTCGCATATCGCGCCTAGTCAAGTACGCCTGTCGCATAATATCGTTTCTTTTTTATTTTTGTATTAATTTTACTTTCCTTCTCAGAACACCGGATAAGAACCGCGCAGACACAAACGGACGTGGCGCAAAAAAAAAAAAGAAACAAAAAATAAGGAAAGAGAAAAAGGGCGACGGTACTTTCTTATCGCTTACAGAGTTTCGTCATCGTTATAGTATGAGCCGTTCCGAAATCGCAGAAAGTCGAGGAAACGATAGTACATGGAGTCGACCGCCATCCGCATATCTGCGCAAAGATCCGTAAAGATGGCTTGTTCTTTTTCTTTGGTTTTTCGCTTCTTTCTTTTCCATCCTTCTGGGTCACTTCATGGCCGCCGAAACGGGGTGTAGCTTGCGCCACCTATCCTTCGTCGCCATTTCTTTCTCTTCCTTCCTCCTTTCTCTCTCCTGGGATGAACCGCAGAACCGTCCCAGCCAACGCGTCGCTACGCCCCCTTCTCGAATAGCACGTGGCACTCAGACCGGATTGGCTTGGATGGTGTCTGGCGTGCGCGGCTGTCCAACGTGAGGTGGAACGCTCGCAATTAGGGACGTCGCAAATTTTGGTCGAACCCCCAAGTTCGACTAATGGACAGTGTTGCCCCGTCTCTACGCAACAGTTATGAATTTTGGGAAACATAATACCTATTTATAAACTACTTTACTTTAACATATTATAAAAGGATGATCGATTTTTACGCAATATATAAGCAACAATATGCACTTTTAACACTTTATAGTGAGTTTATTCGTGCGAAACAATCGAACAATAGACCCAACAAAATCTTGCATCCATAGAAAAAAGAATCTGGGACTGGGAAAAAAAATTAATAAAAATAGCGGACAAATACGCGCACCGTCTCAAACTTTGATAAGGTGTGTGCATCTCCGTAAATTTTTTTCCTCAATCTCTTTTTTTTTTTATGGAGTTTATTTCTTATAGCTTGCCCGCGCATTTTCACCGTCTCCGTTAAATATTGTATTTTCTCCCTGCAAAATAACGGAAACTCTTTAATTATTTTCTTTTTTCGAGCGTGAGCACAAAAGTTAAATTTAAGTTGAACTTGGGTCAAACTGTTGTCGACCTTCGAGTTCGAAGTTCAAAAACTTATTATGACTTGGTTGACCCCGAGCCTTGTCAGATTTGCGACATTTTATGCAAGTACTATTCTGTGCTCTTTCTCTTGGCTGCCCTCTCTCTCTCAATGTTTCTGATTCTCGCTCCAGCGATTGTGGCGTGGACGGCGCTCCCAGGCAGGCGCACCGAGTGCGATAATCTCTCTCGTATACCATGCACTTGGCCCAATTTCCTTCTCGAGGTGGAGGGGCTAACGAACCCGGCGATAAAGCGGCGCCGCATGCAGTACAGATAGCGGTGCGTATCGGAGCGAGAGCGATGATAAAAGAAAGTTTCTTCTTTAAGGCTCGTTCAGACAGCTTCCTTCGAGTGCGACAGCGTCCAGCTTTGCCCCACCACAAAGTGTGTGTGCGCCCCAAAGCGCACACGCACGTGCGTCCCGTTAAAAATCCTCTAAAAAAAAAATATATATATATATATATATACGAGGGGGGACCCAAAAGAAACCGAACTAATTCTTTTTTAAGCAGAGCTTTTGCAGTACCGCGTTTTGCCGCCAGGAGTTGATAGAGCGAACATTGCTGAGTCATTAGACCTAATTCCGTCCTCGAAGAAGGTTAGGACTAGTTGCGGCTGGGTTTATAGTGACAAGTGTTTCGTGTGTGCGTCGTTTTTGCAATGTCTGATTTCTGTGAACAGCGTGCGGCGGTTAAATTCTGTTTTTTGCTGGGAAAAAGTGGAACAGAAACTATTGAACTGTTAAAAACGGCGTACAACGACGATTCCATGGGGAAAACTCAAGTGTTTGAGTGGTTTTCCCGTTTCAAGAATGGCGACATGTCAATTGATGACAAACCTCGTTCCGGTTGTCCTTCCACGGCACGAACACATGAAAACGTTGGAAAAATTCGTGCAATCATCAACGAAGATCGACGACGGACCATTGACGAAATTGTGGAGCTGTCGGGAGGGAGTTGGAGTTCATTGCAGCGAATTCTGACAGAAGATTTGGGAATGAAAAGGGTGGCTGCCAAATTCGCGCCACGACTGCTGACTGCTGAACAAAAGCAAGGTCACGTGGAAGCATGCTGTGCTTTGAAAGAAGAGTCCCGAAGTGACCCAAACTTTTTTTCAAAAGTTATTACAGGTGACGAAACTTGGTGCTATGGTTACGATCCTGAATCAAAGCAAGAATCAAGCCAGTGGAAGACTTCAGGTTCGCCTCGTCCCAAGAAAGCTCGTCAGGTGGAATCAAACATCAAAACAATGCTGATTAGTTTTTTCGATGTGAAAGGAGTCGTCCATTCAGAGTTTGTTCCGCAGGGTCAGACAGTTAACCAGGCTTTCTACTTGGAGGTTTTGAAAAGATTGCGCAACAGTGTGCGGCGGAAGCGGCCCGATTTGTGGAAGTTGGGTGACTGGTTTTTCCATCATGACAATGCCCCGGCTCACACTGCCTTGTCTGTACGACAATTCTTGACCAAAAATGGTATGACCCCTGTTCCTCACCCCCCATACTCACCCGACCTTGCCCCGTGCGACTTTTTTTTTTGTTTTCTAGAATGAAAAGAGAAATGAAAGGAAAGCGTTTTGTTGACGTTGCTGAGGTGAAGAAAAAAACGACGGAGGCGCTGTCAAGCTTCACAAAAGATGAATTTAAACAATGTTTTGACACATGGATTAAAAGATTAGACAAGTGTATTAGTGCAAGTGGACAGTACTTTGAAGGAGATTGAACGTTTCTACTTGAAATGGGAATAAATAAGTGCAAAAAAATTTAGTTCGGTTTCTTTTGGGTCCCCCCTCGTGTGTATATATATATATATATATTGTTAGGAAAGACGACGACGTGGCGCGAGTGGCGCGCTCAAGTGTCGGCCGCAGAGTGCCCGCGCGATTCGATTCAGACTGACTTCGCCTGGCTGCGCTGCGGCACTGACCGTCATCTACAATCCTCCGATCATCTCATTAAACCTGCACATCGTTGCCTCACAGGTTGGTGGAGGTGCTATCGTTCTTCCGCCTCTCATCTAACCGTTAATTATCAATTCTGGAGCTACGCAGCAGACGACCCGCGCAAGTCAATATGCCAGAAGAAGCGGGCAACGCTAACCGTCCCACGAACACTACAGCGCCCGTGGTCAAACATCGACAGCGCGACCCCCAGATCTTCGACGGATCTCCGGACGCCGACGTCGACGATTGGTTAAAGAACTATGAACGGGTCAGCCACTACAACCACTGGGATGACAGCTTTAAGCTCGCGAATGTTGTTTTTTTTCTAAAAGACACATCACTTCGCTGGTTCGACAATCACGAAGAAACCATCAATTCCTGGGAAGGCTTCAAAACAGCATTCGCCGATGTGTTTGGCAAACCCCAGCACCGGAGGCAGCAAGCGCGCGACCAACTATTGCGCCGCTATCAAAGACCCACAGAAACATCAACAGCGTACATTGAGGACGTCCTCCGTTTGTGCCGCCGAGTTGATGCTGAAATGGCCGAAGACGAGAAAATTCGCCACCTCTTCAAGGGCATCTCGCAAGAGCTCTTCTCCGTCGTGGCTCCGAAAGCACCTGCTACAACAGAGTGCTTGATAGCGGAATGCCGACAGTACGAAGAGCTTGATAGCGCACGGATCTCCAAAAAACCATTCGAGCGACTCCCTGAAGTGTCCCAGGTAACAACTCCCGACACAAACCTTGCTTCGCTCATCCGCACCATAATACGCGAGGAGCTTCGTACCTTCGTCGCACAGCTACAACCGTCTAGTGACGAACACCAAACAAATACTGACGTACATGTCATAAAGGACGCAATTCAAAGCGAACTGCGCGCTGCTCTGGGGCACGTCACGCCAGCAGCCTCTCCTTACGCACCAGCAGCACCCGTCCCAACTTCGATCTGCGCTTATCAGTCCATCCCTGCCACGTATGCCGCACCAACCCCTCCATGGACACCACCACAACCAAGGACCAACATCTGGCGAACGCCAGATCAGCGACCTGTGTGTTATTATTGTCACACACCAGGACACATCCTCCGATATTGTCGCCGTCGACTTAACAACACGGCTCGCACCTCGCCGACCAGCCGTGTATACTCCACAGACTATACTGACTACCATGCTACTCATCGCACTCCGCCCATCGACGAATTTTCTTCACGTTCCCACACGTCCACTGCCCCCGGTCACGAACAATTTCCGGACAGTCGCCGTCCCTCTCACAGCCCCGAACGTTCCCCACCGCCACGACGTGGCCGCCCATCATCGCCGTACCCGCCACGACGCCGTTCTGTATCACCCTTCACCACCGACGCTCCCGGACCTTCCCAACAGTCAAACTAGATAAAGCGGTCTGCAGCTACGTTGGAGGTCAGGCTGCACACTCATCACTATCCGCAAATCCTCCTCATTTAGGATCAACATCAATTGTACTCAAAATTAGAAATCACAACTTCACCGCCTTAGTCGATACAGGAGCCGCGAAGTCTTGCATTCCTGAACACATCCGCCGTCGCCTGCACGCAGTACTTACTCCGCCGTTACAAGGACACTTGATGCGCATGGGCAATGGCGATTTGGTTCCCCCCCTCGGATACTGCACCCTTACAATCCGGATTGGTAACAACCGTTACGTTGTTATGTTCATAGTGCTTCCTACCTGTATCGCCGACATCATCCTGGGATGGGACTTTCTGTCTTCAACAGAAGCACTCATTGACTGTGCCAGCCGTGAATTGCATCTCAACTCTTCTGATACTGCCGAGGTTGATGCTGATGGTTCGCTCGTCACCCTGGTAGCCGACACTGACATACTGCTGCCTCCGTACGCTGCCACTGTCGCCACACTCGTACCGACCCTACCCACCGCAGCAACTTCTGGTCTCATTGAACCCATCTCTACGCA